ATTTATGATGAAAATAGTATGATAAATAAAATTTATTAAGATTTTTAGTCAATACGTTGAATAATAATGACTAATCAGAAATTAATATTAATTTTGAACGCTTGATTTGTAACGTGTACATTGAAAGAAACAAGGAAAGCAAATAATAAAAGAAGGATGGAAATAGGATAAAAATTGCGAAATCAGCGCCATCTCTTGTGTGCCGCAAATGAAACATATAGACAAGGAAAGCAAGTAATAGAAGAAGGATGGAAATAGGATAAAAATTGCGAAATCAGCGCCATCTCTAGTGCCGCAGATGAAACACATTGACAAGGAAAGCAAATAACGAAAGAAGGATGGAAATAGGATAAAAATTGTGAAATCAGCGCCATCTCTAGTGTGCCGGAGATGAAACACATATTGACAAGGAAAGCAAATAATGCGAGGAAGATAGAAATAGAATAAAACGGACTATTAGCGCCATCTCGTGAACGCCAAAGGTATTATTGAGTCCAAAAACACTCGAGAGATGGCGCCAGTAACTAAATTTTATTATATTTCTCTGTCCTTTTTCCACTGTTTGTTCACTTTGTCTATAGTATTATACGGCACTCCAGAGATGGCGCTTATTGTACAATTTTTAAGCTATCTCTATCCTCCTTTCATTATTTGCTTTTCTTGTCTATATTTACTCGATGAATTTATGCGCTCAAAAGATTCTATCGATTTCTAATTAACTTTATTCGCATCGTTATTCAATTCATTGATTAAAAATCTTAACAGAATTTATTTAATTCGATTTTTACGTATATTAAGTATGTATTTCATATATTTTATATGTGTAAATTTTTATATTTTTATATTTACATGTACATATGATGTCAGTACATTGTTGTTAAAATTAATAAATCATCTCTGAATGGAAATTATTGAAAAATTATAATATTTAAATATTTCATCGCGTGATTTAACACATTCGTTCGAGATTAAAATTACTGAACAATGAAAGACACACTTTTCTAAATTTCTTAATATAAACCTATAATATAATATTAATTATTATGTTTCAAGAATATTTATATAATTCAACGAAAATTACATTTAACAGAATAAATTAATATAATATACTTCATTTACCTGTGAACGAAAATGAAAACAGCCAATGCAACTCGTCCTCATAATAATTGTTTATTGTTGAAGTGATATAGATATAATGATCCGTAACGTAATTTAACTACAATGAGACAGGTTTCGCAACTAGCAAGAATCATGTTTATACATAGATTATACAATATGTACAGAAAAACCTAAGATCGTACAAGCAATACTTTGTTTTGGACAACTTCACAGGACTTGCAATCGGGGAATAGCTGCCAGCCTTTCCGTGCTCCCTTTCCCATCTTTTTCGTCTATTCTATAGTTAAAAACGATCATTGCGCATCTGAGCGCGAAAAACCCGCGCTTTTCGAACGTATGTAAACGTTCCACTTAACTTACGAAACATTTTTTTTTTTTTTAATTAGCACACTAACGATTTACATCGATTTCTCTATCCCGACATCATTCGCCATTATACTTAATCGCATGTTTGTTATTTACAACAGTATTTATATACACGCATACATATATGTATACGATCGTCGCTTTTGGAGGAAACTTTTGATTTTTTTTTTTCTTTTTTTCTTTTTTTTCTTCTAAAAACTACTACCTTTTAGACTCTCGAACGCTCTCTCCTAGCATTGGATGCGTCCCTTCTTTTCTTCCTTTTCTCTTATTTTTTTCTCTCTTTCCTTTTTTTTTTTTTATACGTTGGATTTACACGTACAATTTCAATTTCTTCGCTTTCTCTCCCATTTCTCTTTTCATTTCTCATCTCTTGGCTGAATCAAAAATCGAACTGTTCCACCTCTCTTAAAAGATTGTAATTGTCGCAACTATTTTTTTTTTTTTTTTTTTTCTTCTTTTTTTTCCCTTATTGTTCCTGTTTCAGTTCTGGTTACTTTTACAAAATGAACCGCCGCACAGATATAACAATATGTTTGTCGATATGCATCTCGATGAATCGATTCGTAAAAAAAGAAATACCGCTATTGGTGTGGATTCAATTTCTCTTGAATCGCTATTGTGATCAAACTTTATTCTCGTACGGTATATTTTTAAGACGTATATGTACGAATGCTTAAAAATATTCGTACCCTTTATTTTTCGATGTGTACATCACTTTGAGCTATCTATTTTGCACACTCGTCGTACAAAATTGTTCACTTTGTTTCTTGCGATTGAAGACATCAGATACCTTTTTCTTTCCATTCAATCCATCGACAAACTTCGAATTTCATCCTTTTTTTTCTCTTATCTTTGATATCGATTAATCGTATCGATTCTTATTTTTTTTTTTTTTTTTTCAATATCGAAAACTTAAACGGCATGAATTTTTTTTATAATCCTTCGTTTCAAAATAAAAATTATCAATTTTTAAATTACAACTGTTAATATTATTACCAATTTTTATATTTTCATTGAATCAAAACGCGTTTGTGGCAAAATTTATTTATTTATGTTTTACTTTCGTTTGATCGTTTGATCATCTATATCTGACGTCTTCGATCGTTAAGATGAATCCTTTTTTCGACACTTTTTGATTGACATAAAGCCACCGTCGAGATCGAAAAACACCGTGGTTTCTGTCATTTTTCGCATGAGAGTCCTCGAATCGACGGAGCTCTTTAGTTATTTACCCCTAAGCTAAAGTTAAAAATTAGATAAATTACGGTAAAGTGCTTACTGGACACACGTATGCTGCTATCTGTTACTTTTTACACGATTTCTTTTTACACATGCGTATCGTATCTCGTCTATTATTATTTTTATTTATTTCTATTTATTTATTTATGTATTTACTTATCCTTCGTTCGCATTTCATGATTAAACGTGAGAAGAACATACAGGAAAGCCATTATTACACGAGAGTATTACTTTTTCGAGTATGAACGAATGTGATCGATTGCACAGTCCACGATGCATGCACCTTCAATCACCGTTATTCAGATTCTCAAACGCACGACAACGATAATGCGATTCAAATCATTCCTTCGAGATATTATCCGTTTAGAATGCTCGTTAAGAATAAAATTTTTTTATAAAATCGATAATAACGGATGTATTATCGTATTCGAACCCGTGTTTACTTTTGATTTCGATTTCCATCAATTCATAATAATTACGAATAAATGTTTAAACGAATGATTTTATTTCGACTTCCCTCGCTTCAGTTTATCATACGATTCATTGAATTTTATTCATTCGATTGAGTTTAACTTTATTATTTGAAAAATTAATAAATGCAAATTTTTATACACGAGATATAAAAATTTTCGCAAAATTCAAAGGAAGATTTCGCGAAGATCAACGAACAAATTCTACGTTCATCGTAATTTAGAAACAAACGCGAGGGAAGTCGATCTTTCTGTCGATGAGGAAAATTTACTATAGAAAAAAAAAAAGAAAAAAAAAACAATAGACAGAAGGAAAAACATAAAAGAAACAGAAGAAAGAAAAATTTCCTCCACTCCATACACAACATACGTACATACGTCGGATTAACATCGCATCGAGAGTTAAACGAACAACGATGCATTTGAAAATAAATCGAGGATTCGATCTGGGAAGAGACACGAGATCGATGGGTATATCGGGGAACACAAATAGACGTTGGCTGTCTTTCCGTATAAAATAACGACGGGACACGGTGCGTGCTGTACATCGAGTGTAAATAATAATACTATGATACAAAGTATAAGTACATTGGTTTAAATGATTGCAGGCTGCTCCTCTCATATCACAGCGAGGGCGCTGCCGGGCCCGCTTGAAAAATTTAAAAAAAAACCTTCTTCTTCTTCTTCTTCTTCTTCTTGGAGAAAAAACAAAAAAAAAAAAAAGAAAAGCGACGCATGTACTCGCACGTGTATACAACTCGCGTCATTCACCCTTCGCCATCAATATAATATATATATATCATCTTTCTTTCTTTCTTTCTTTCTTTCTTTCTTTCTCTCTTTCTTTCTCTCTTTCTTTATTTATTTATATATTTATATCTCTCGTGCACGAAATATAACGTACGATCGTGTTTACCTCGAAAAAACGTTCTTCTCGTTCTCATCAATGACGACGCGGAGACAAATGCCAAGTAATTAAATGCCAAAAGTGGTCGGATCCGAGGTGTAAATTTTTAAAAGCGGCATCAAGCATCTTAATAAACGATGCATGCCGCCACCGAAAGTAAGTATAAATATAATCGCCTCCGGGATCCCGGACGAGAGGAGAACCGAGAGAGGTCCGAGATTATCCGATCACACGGTATACTCCGTCCAAATAATAATAATGATAATAATAATAATAATGATAATAATAATAATAATAATAGTAATAATAATAATAATAATAATGATAATAATAATAATAATAATAATAATAATGTACGATATACCTAGGAGTGAGGTGACCATCACTGTCGCGCATGGACGGTCAGAGTTATGGAGGCCGGCGTTGTGGCGCCACGTGTCTTGCGGCCGTGAAAGGGGGGGGGGCTCAGTCTAGGCGTCACATCCGCCGGTACCTCGTGCGAAAGCACGTGTCGCGCGGGGGCGGGGAGGGGGAGGAGAGTTCCGAAAACGGACCACATATTCGCCAGAAACAAGCGGTACGGAACACGGCGAACAGACCGACCGTCTCTTGCTCTGGGGTGGTGTGGCGGGGAGGAGGGGAGGGGGGGGGGAGGAGAGTCCTCTCTCGAACGCGTTTAAGACTAGTGTGACAATAGGAACATGGTGTCTGCTCTGGCTCTGGCGGGGATCAAGAAGGATATGTCGTCGGACGTTCGGTACCCGAGTCTTTGGGCTCGCGAAATGCACTGAAACCAACACTACTACTGCCTCCGGCTCCTTCATCAAACGTTTCCCTTCCTTTTATACTCTCTTCTCTCTCTCTCTCTCTATTATTTCTCTCTCTCTCTCTCTCTTTCTGTCTACTTATGTCTCGTCTGTAATACAGCCAGGACGGAGTTCAATCGCCGAAAACGTGAAGCCCCGAGAAAGAAGGGTATGCGTTATCGGTGGTGTTTAACGAGGTTCACGTGGCCAGTCCCTCACCCCTGGCCGCGGGGGGTGGCGGAAGTCGAGCGGATGGCGGTGTCGAGTTCCCTTCCGACCTGGCGGGCGGTTCTCTGTCGAAGTGGTGTTGAAGAGCGTCTCCCGTCCACGAGGACACGTTGGCGCTGTTCTGATTGCTCCCGTTGGAGCCTGGCGTGCCGGGCGAGTGGGAGGGCGACGGTGTCTGGAAGAGCATGGATCCGGATGGAATGGAGGATTTGCCGTCGAGCAACGGCCCGTTGCTGGACGCCGCCATTGGCTGCTTGTCCAGGGGGAATCCGGCGCCAGCAGCGTACACAGAGCCGAACAATCCCGCGTATTTGCCTGCGGCCACCGAGTGGCCCGGTAACCCGTTGTTACTCTGTATCACCGAGATCTCGTTCAGCTGTAAGTAATGCACGCCGACTGGTTAGGTTTATTCGGAGGCAATTACCTACAAAAACGAAAGAAAAGAATAAATCGTTAAGGGCGTGGGTGTGCTGGACTTTTCCAGCTCTGCCTGATAAGGGCTAACCACCTTTCGACACCTCGTGGGGGAGAGGGAGGGGCCTTATCTGTCTGATTGGATTTGACGATTTGTGTAAACTGAGACTTGATTGTTCGTCTTTGTCTTTGTTTAGATGGGTTTGGGTAATATGCGGAGATGATAAAAGTTGATCGTCGCCATAATTTTAGGTGTTTTTATTCGTTTTTTTGAAGAGAATGTATTATTCATATGATAAGTATAAATTAGATATAGAATAGCAACGTAATTCTTGTTTGAACAATATTTTTATTCGTCTAATAAAGCATTATTAATAAATATTTTAATATATTATATATTAATATATATAATTCTCTGGGAAAATAGATAATTGAAATAATCAAATACTATTTTAAAACCAATTAAATTGATTATATACCCGACTTCACTTTTTTCAAAATACTCATTTTATCTCGAACTTGACAAAATTTTAAACTCTATTCTTTTTAGTTCGAAACTGAAACAATTAAAATTATATCAGTTTAAAAATTGGGTCAGAGATTAGCAAATATATTGACATTACTTTGAAAGAAGCATACTTCAAATCATCGTAAACAATATTTACTTGAAAAGAAAAAAATAATATTTATAAAAAAATATATATATATAATCGAATATATGCAATAAATAAAAGTACATAATTGAATTCTGAATCTCGGTATCGAAATCTCGATATCTCAAAATTTATAAAATCGAAAATGCGTAATAACGCGTATTTTCCTTGGGATCAATTTCGACTCAATTAAACCTCAACTTTGTTTTTGACAAAACGACTGTGTGAAACGACTAAACAATACAAAGGAAATAAATATGAAATTAATCGAGGAAACGGCTCGTACATTTCAAGATGCACAACCACTCACTTTCTGCTGTACTCCGTTAAGGAATGGCGCGGGTAGATAGGGATAGAAAAGATCCGGCCGTCGCTGGAGGAATTCCGAGTCCTTGGGGGTGATGGGTAGGGGAGGCAGATCCAGGGACATTCGACGGCCTCGTCGGGAAGCTCCGTTGGTCCACATATGCGTGCCCATGTGCACCTGCGGATCAAAAGAACCGTGTCCGTTTTGTCAACTCGGCTCCACCTGGTGTGCGGTGTCGTACGTATGTGTCGCTGATCTTTCATCGAGCTTGCGATTATTCTTTCTAATACCTTCACGTTTTGTACGTTACGCATTAGCGTTAGTACAAGCGGTAGCAGCTAGCTGGTGTTAGTGAATAAAACTCGAAGAATCCAGAGACACGGGGGATACAGCGGAGAGACAGAGAGGGAGAGGGAGAGAGAGAAATAGAGAGATAGAAGACAGACAAAAGAGAAAGAGACAGATAGAAGAGAGAATGAGACAGAGAGAGAGAGAGAGAGAAGAGAGAGAGAATACGAAGGAGAGATAAAGACAGAGATAGATATAGAAAGAAGAGAGAAAAGGGGAGAAAATGGCGGTGTATACCTTGAGATTGCCCTTGGTGGTGAAGGCCTTCTGGCAGACGGTGCATCGGAACGGTTTGTCGCCCGTGTGAGTTCTCATATGGATCTGGAGCGCCGAAGATGAGGAGAAATTCTTATTGCAAATCTGGCACAAATGTTTGCTCGGCACGCCTGGAAATACATACACATTTTCTCTGAACAGACCCTGACACAAGTAGAGCGAGGTAGTTCTTCAAGCTTGTCTCTTTTCTTCGAGATGTGTC